TGCAATAAGCGTGTGTACTCCTATCAATACGTAAGTAGCCATCAAGCTAACCATGACGGCTGTAAGCGGGCCCAAAAACGCAAGGCTGAAGAGGATGCTAGACGTAAGAAGCTAGACCGTGGCGTGGAGAAGTAGTATACCTTTGTTCCGTTAGCAACAGCCACCCTTCCCGCGCCAGCGCATTCAATTCCTACAGCGGCACTTCCGAACGGAGTAGAGCAGCACCCGCAGCCGGCAAAGCGAGTTCGTGATGCCGTTCGTACGTGCAGCACCACACTCGTGGTGGAAGAAGCTCCTACAGAGGAAATTCTTGATGTTAAGGCGGAAATATACATTTTGGCATGATCTCACGGTCTAACCAACGCGGCGATAAACGACACAATACAGTTAGTTAGACACCCAAAATTAGATCCAAAGCAGCTGGACGACTGGAACAGCTACAGGGACCTGGAGAAGTACGAGAACACCTTTGACCTTGGAGCGGAGAATGAATGGATTGTCGAGGAGATCGAAGTGGATCACGAGGTTGGGTTTCTCACCTTCAAGCGCCAAAACGCGATAACTGTGAGTGTATCTATGCGTGCGGGGTCACGTTTGTCACAGTGGAATGTGTTTCTGAGACCGATTAAACCATCAGTCCAAATGGAACCATCAATCCTACGCTTCTGTTTTCCATCATTGTTGCCATCCTTATCACCATCAGCTCCTTCAGTCCATGTTCAACAAGATGTCGGCTGTCAAGGGATTCAGCATCATGCCTCAAGAGTGGAAGGTTGATGGGGTTCGCCGCTACAGTACCCCTGCAAACACGGATTGGGTAAGTTCCATGCCATCTCATGTCGCGTTGGACACGAGCATTGAAACCTAGGATCCAATACGTCTTTCCTTCTCTTTATCATCACTGTGGCAGGAAAGGGTGCGGAAGTTTGGCATAGTTATAGCTCTCATTTTGTTCTCAGACCAGACCAATCTATCGTACAGCGGGCGCCAATCTGCCCACCCATTTCTGTTGTCCTTTGGGAACATTCCTGAATGGGCTAGGTGGCTTGAAGGAGGCACTGAGCTTCTTGGGCTCCTGCCTAACATCCCAGCTGACCTCTCGCCAGAAGAGAAGGTTCGAGTGTTCCAGGACGCTGCAGGGATCATGATTCAAGCTTTAAAGGCGGCTTCATATCTTTTAGGGTGAGACACTGCTACTCTCGCCCAAAGGCGCGCATCCCTTGTACTCTCCAGAATCCTCCACACTACCCTACTTATTTTCATTGCCTGTCTAATCCACCCTCCCCTCCCTTTTTGACCCCCCTTCTCCTCTGTTATTCTTTCGCATGCGTGCCACGACGCCGGATTCAGTCGAAATTACTTTGCTCCCAGCCACCATGCTTCACCTAATACCATTCGGATTCCTCTTGTACCACTGTCTCCTGCCGTTGAAACCATCCCTGCTTGCTGTCCCCCTCCTCCTAACCGTCCTTCATCTGCTTGCTTACAGCAATCCATGCTCACACCATCACTGACATATCTAACATGGTCTCCCATCCTCACCATACCCCCCCCTGCTTTACCCCTCATCCTGGCAGCTGTGCAGGGGCGGTGTGATGGTGGAAGACAATGCCGGCGTGCAGTATAGAGCATTCACGCTCCTTTATTCATGGGTGGCCGATCACCCGGAGTCTTCTAAGATCACCTGTACGATGGCATGCAACTCACACCATCCGTGCTCGTTGTGCTTGGCTGAAAAGGAGGGCCTGGATGAGATGAACTTTGAGTTGACTCAACAGCCAACTGATAAGAAGCGCCTGGATGAGCAGGACGAGACCATTGTCCCCAGAAATGTCGAGGGTCGGAAGGAATCTGCGGAAACCAAAAAGAAGCAGGAAGACACCATTGTCCTTAGAACTGTGAAGGGTCAGAAGGATTTTCACAACGAGATGAAAGCCGCGAAGACCAGAAAGGAGCTGAAGGCGGTGAAGAATAAGTCCTCTACACACTTTGTGAAGGTGCGCCTTGCCCAGCTTGCTCCGCGTGCATCCTTGTGGTTCTCATATGGTTTCCCTCCGTATCCACCATATACTGCTGTGGCTAGTGTGCCCGAAAACCTACTCCGATCTGCATCTTGCAGTTCGTATTTATTATCCTGACCCGCCATAGTGAGTTTGTGTCCTTGACCCCCGACGCAGAGCCTTTTGTGGGACTGGGAATTCGCAAAAACTCTCTGGGGCAACACGTACCTTGCTGTGCCCCCGGACTAATGCACATCTGGGAGCAGGGCATATGGCTGCATGCCATGAAGTGCCTGGTGAAGAAGCTGACCCGGAGGGAACGGAAGATTCTTCTGGAGTGAGTTGTTCCGCACCCTGCTTCATGCTACTCCCCTTTGTGCTTGCTTTCCGCGCCCTGCTTCATACTACTTCCCTCCGTGCTTGCTTTCTGCGCCTTGCTTCATGCTACTCCCCTCCGTGCTTGCTTTCCGTGCTCTGACTAACTGTTATTCACGCCTAGGCGATACAAGATTTTGAAGGAGGCCACACCAGCTTCCGTGCTACGTCTTCCTTTGGCGTGGGCCTACTTCACATCCACTGCCTGCTTTTCAGCTGCAGAGCATCGGGCGATGATGCAGGTCCTGCCCCTCATCATCAACCTCCCAGGACGAGAAGATATCCGCACGGCCATTGTCAAGATGGTCGAGTGGTACAAGGAGTTCATCCGCGCTGAGTACCACACCGACGAATCTCTGGAATGGATGAAAGACGCCACCATCAAGTAATTAGTCCGTTTGTGATGTGGTTTCCTGGGCCCATCTTCTCCCTCTGCACTGCATCGCTGTCCCTCCATAACCCACCTCCCTGCTCCCTCCTTCCATGTTTCTGTTTTCGCTGTCTGCTTCCTCACTCCCCCTCCCGCATCCCGTTTCTCCCTTCCCGGCCTGCATTCCCCCTCTTAACTGCATGCCTTGTATCTAAATTTTCTCCAGGATGGTGAAGGCTCTTCGTGTCGCTTTCCCTAAGCAGAAGTCAAAGTGGAAAATTGTTAAGATTCATCTTCTCGTTCACCTCCCATCAACCATCCGTATGAGGGGGATCCCTGCCGAGTACTCGTCGAACTGCAACGAGCACTCCCACAAGACCACTATGAAGCGTCCTTCACGTGGCACGAACTGGAAGAATGTTGAAGATCGAATCGTCCGGAAACACCTGGAGCATGCGGTAGTTAGGCAACTCGCGCGGGAGGCCGGAGGGGACAGCACGTACGAGACCTGGATGAAAGAGGTGAGTTTTACGAACCTGCTCTGTTCCCCTGCACCCCGTCGTCTGCTAAGTTTCCCTATTTTAATCCCATGCTGTGATCTCCTGAAGTGATGCCATGCTCTGTTCTCTTGCTCGGTTCCCCTCCTCTGTTCCGCTGCTCTGTTTCCCTGCTCGGCTCTCTTGCTCTCTCCCCCTGCTCTATTTCCCTGCTCGGTTCTCCTTCTCTCTCCCCCTGCTCTGTTCCTCTAGTCATTTCCCCTTCTTTGTTATCTGCTCTGTTTCCCAACTGTGTTCCCTACTATGTCTTCCCCGCTCTGTTCCCTGCACTGTTATCCTCTGCCATGTTCCGTTCTGTGTCTGTCCTGCTTTGTGCCCTGCTGTATTCCCTTCAGTTTCCCTGCTATGCTCCCTTCTGTGTCTGCCCTGCTCTGTGCCATGTTCAGTTTGCCCGAGCTTGGTTCTCATGCTCTCTCCCCTGCCATGTTTCCCTGCTCGGTTCTCATGCTCTCTCCCCTACCCTGTTTCCCTTCTCGGTTCTCATGCTCTTTCCTGCTCTGTTTCGCTGCTCGGGTCTCATGCTCTCCCCCCCTGCTCTTTTTCCCTGCTCGGCTCTCTTGCTCTCTCACACTGCTCTGTTCCCCTCGTCATTTCCCCTTCTTTGTTATCCGCTCTGTTACCCTGCTATGTTCCATACTGTGTCTCCCCTACACGGTGCCCTGTTCTGTTTCCCTGCTCTGTTCCCTGTGCTGTTACCCTGCCATGTTCCGTTCTGTGCTCTGCTCTGTTCCCTTCACCGTTTCCCTGATTTGTTCACTTCTGTGCCTGCCCTGCTCTGTGCCCCGCTCTGTTCCCTTCACTGTTTCCCTGATTCGTTCACTTCTGTGTCTGCCCTGCTATGTGCCCCGCTCTGTTCCCTTCACTGTTTCCCTGATTTGTTCACTTCTGTGTCTGCCCTGCTATGTGCCCCGCTCTGTTCCCTTCACTGTTTCCCAGATTTCTCACTTCTGTGTCTGCCCTGCTCTGTGCCCTGCTCTGTTCCCTTCACTGTTTACTTGATTTGTTCACTTCTGTGTCTGCCCTGCTCTGTGCCCCGCTCTGTTCCCTTCACCGCTTCCCTGATTTGTTCACTTCTGTGTCTGCCCTGCTCTGTGCCACGTTCTGTTCGCTCGTCTCTTTGCCCGCATTTCTGTTTCCATGCTCTCTGCATGAGTTGGCAATCACATTTAGGACCAACCTAACCAAAGTAATCGATTCCTACCCCCCCATAACCTTCTTCGTCCCCACAACCTCTCCCCCTTTCCCCCACACCCATTCCCCCTTCGTGGCCTTTCCCTTCTTCGCCTACACCTCGCATCCATCCCCTATCCCCCCCCCCTCCTCCTCCCTCCAAAAGGACTCACCATACAACCCTCCCCCTCCCTATACCAACCCTCTCCTCTCCACGGTGACAGGCATGCCTGGCTGGCCGGAGGGTGCTTACTAAGACCCACAAGAAGATGGTCCTTGGGGACATCACCGACTCAGTGTTTCGGAGCTACGTCTTGACTGTTGGTGAACCCGCCATGAGTGCGATGGTTCTGCGACTCAGACAAGCAGGCATCAACACGCAAGTTTTGCAGGTGCTAAACCGGTCGTATGGATATGCCATTTTTTCTCACTGCCGCCGAATCCACCCACTCCAGCCCCTCTTCCCCCTCTCCTGCATGCTTTCCACTCACTCCAGCCCCCCTTCCCCCTCTCCTGCATGCTTTCCACTCACTCCAGCCCCCCTTCCCCCTCTCCTGCATGCTTTCCACCCACTCCAGCCCCCCTTCCCCCTCTCCTGCATGCTTTCCACTCACTCCAGCCCCCCTTCCCCCTCTCCTGCATGCTTTCCAACCACTCCAGCCCCCCTTCCCCCTCTCCTGCATGCTTTCCACTCACTCCAGCTCCCCTTCCCCCTCTCCTGCATGCTTTCCACCCACTCCAGCCCCGCTTCCCATTCTCCTGCATGCTTTCCACCCACTCCAGCCCCCCTTCCCCCTCTCCTGCATGCTTTCCACTCACTCCAGCCCCCCTTCCCCCTCTCCTGCATGCTTTCCAACCACTCCAGCCCACCTTCCCCCTCTCCTGCATGCTTTCCACTCACTCCAGCCCCCCTTCCCCCTCTCCTGCATGCTTTCCAACCACTCCAGCCCCCCTTCCCCCTCTCCTGCATGCTTTCCACCCACTCCAGGCCCCCTTCCCCCTCTCCTGCATGCTTTCCACCCACTCCAGCCCCCCTTCCCCCTCTCCTGCATGCTTTCCACTCACTCCAGCCCCGTTTCCCCCTCTCCTGCATGCTTTCCACCCACTCCAGCCCCCCTTCCCCCTCTCCTGCATGCTCTCCACCCACTCCAGCCCCCCTTCCCCCTCTCCTGCATGCTTTCCACTCACTCCAGCCGCGCTTCCCCCTCTCCTGCATCCTTTCCGCCCACTCCAGCCCCCCTTCCCCCTCTCCTGCATGCTTTCCACCCACTCCAGCCCCCCTTCCCCCTCTCCTGCATGCTTTCCACCCACTCCAGCCCCCCTTCCCCCTGCATGCTTTCCACCCACTCCAGCCCCCCTTCCCCCTCTCCTGCATGCTTTCCACTCACTCCAGCCCCCCTTCCCCCTCTCCTGCATGCTTTCCAACCACTCAAGCCCCCCTTCCCTCTCTCCTGCATGCTTTCCACCCACTCCAGCCCCCCTTTCCCCTCTCCAAAATGCTTTCCACTCACTCCAGCCCCCCTTCCCCCTCTCCTGCATGCTTTCCACTCACTCCAGCCCCGCTTCCCCCTCTCCTGCATGCTTTCCACTCACTCCAGCTCCGTTTCCCTCTCTCCTGCCTGCTTTCCACCCACTCCAGCCCCCCTTCCCCCTCTCCTGCATGCTTTCCACTCACTCCAGCCCCCCTTCCCCCTCTCCTGCATGCTTTCCACTCACTCCAGCCCCCCTTCCCCCTCTCCTGCATGCTTTCCACTCACTCCAGCCCCGCTTCCCACTCTCCTGCATGCTTTCCACTCACTCCAGCCCCCCTTCCCCCTCTCCTGCATGCTTTCCACCCACTCCAGCCCCCCTTCCCCCTCTCCTGCATGCTTTCCACCCATTCCAGCCCCCATTCCCCCTCTCCAAAATGCTTTCCACCCACTCCAGCCTCCCTTCCCCCTCTCCAAAATGCTTTTCCACCCACTCCAGCCCCCTTTCCCCCTCTCCTGCATGCTTTCCACCCACTCCAGCCCCCCTTCCCCCTCTCCAAAATGCTTTCCACCCACTCCAGCCCCCCTTCCTCCTCTCCAAAATGCTTTTCCACCCACTCCAGCCCTTGGCCAATTTCCCCCTTTCGCTATGCTCTCCGCCGCCTCTTTCGCTGGTTTCACATTTTCTTGGTTCATGCTCGTGGTTTCAGGTGCACACGGCACTTGCGATTCCGCCCCACGACAAGATGGAATGGACGTCAAGGGGGCAGTTTGTCAAGGCTAGCCCGGGCAAGAAGAACTTCTCATCTGTTGCAATCAACCCTGCAGGGAAGGGGTCCCCCTGGTACGGCCGTTGTCTTGTCCTGTTTCACTACAACAAAGATGGGGAGCTGAGGCGCGGAGCATACGTGTAGTATTACACCGAGGACAAGCGACTATGCCCGTCAACGGGATGCAAGCGCCTTCTACCCACAGAGGGCGAGGATGATTTTACACTGATTGATGTCGACTGCATTCTCAGTCTCGTACACATTGTTCCCTCATGTGAGGACGATGAAGTGAGCCTTCTTAATAGATTCGTTTGGTGAGGTCTAGCGAACGTAGAGAACTTGAACGCATTGTGACTTTTGTAAACATGAAATTGTTCCCTGACTATGTTCTTTTTAGGCCTTGTAAGAATATAATAGGTGTAAAATTTCCTTCAAATGGTTAAACATGACTCTTGGAAACACTATTTTCATAGAGAAAATTACATCATCATATTCAAAGAAACATAAGTGCAAATGTCATGAATGTAACAAATGGTACACAAAAGCCTACACAAGGAATTCTTGGAGAGAATCAAATTTCTCGCTATCTGCTCCCACGCGAAGAGACATGCTCGACTATCTGTTAGGCCCGGAACCCTAATCCTGCGCACAAGCAAGAAATAGTTAGGAGCAAACATTTAGAATGTGACTGGAAAACATTCCGCCAAAGGCAAACGTTTTTTAGAGTTTCCTTGTACGTTTGTCAAACGCTTGTCAAACGTACGATAGGCTGCCGCGAATGTCAGATGATTTTCAGACACACGCATTTTTGTGATGAGTGGCCGCGCACCAGTGATGCGCGCATGATGCAACCTCGAGAGGCCTCACCATGCGCGCATAAAAAATGCGCGAGATTGCTAGGAGAGGAATGTTCCTAACATCAAAGAAGTCCTGTGCTGACCCCCAATCACCTTGTCCCGCTAATGGCCTAAAAGTAACCCAAGACTGTCCCAAAAACGACTCCGTCCAAAATCTATCCCAACTCTAATCGGGCCGAAGTGCGGCTTGGAGACGCGACCTGGAGTCCAGGAACGCGGCGACATCCATATTTTTGAGGGCCTAAAAGGCTGTTCGGCAGTCATCCCCCAGCAGCCGTGGGCTTATCATGAGCCTTGATAACCTATCAAGAGCTTTTCAAGGAAGGTTCGAGGGTGATCGCTTTACTGTAGCCATCCGGGCGGATGTGCCTGCCGAACAAAGCCATAGTCATAGCAAAACGTCCCAAACCCAGCCGAATGGTGTCCTTTGTTTGGGTCTTTTCAAGGTCTTTTCGGGCAGCACAAAAGAGATCGTTTCAGATTTCTATGCATGGTCGTCAAAAGCTTCTCGAGATTCTTTCTGGCAAAGCCCTGCACTTGCTAGTTTCGCATATGATGGCACGTGTTTGCAAATCGGCGAGATTACACGAAATGTGTAGACGTCGCCATTGACTCTACCCATGTGTACACTTCAACGGGTACACTTCGTCATTGGACCGAATTGGAGGGAAGTGACAGCATTGTACAAACGAGTATATGCAACCCCGTGTGTTGCAAGGAAGGTGACTTTGCCAACTATCCATGTCCGAATTCCGTCCAAAACTGTGCCGTTACGAGTCATTTTGGGACAGATTTTGGCTCTGTCCCTGAAGTGTCTCTTGGGATGTCCAACTGGACGGTTTTAGGAGTTCAGAAAGCGTATCGACACTGTTTCCAAATCTTAGGATCGCAAACGCCTTAGAAAGCAAAGTCTGCTTGTTAATGCTGATAGCGTTCTCCTAGTTCTCACGACTCCAACGATATGCGCAGCTCTTAATTTCGTCAATGTTTCACTAGCGCCTTACTAGCGACTCAAGCGCTTCGCGGAGCCTTGACGGGCATTTCACGGAGATTCTACTCGCATGCCCTTGACGGGGCCTTGACGGTCTTTTCACAGTCCTTTCCGGGGGATTCGCGTTCACTAGTGGCTGACAGGGCCTTTGCGAGGGTTTCACGGGGCTTAACAAAAATATGATAATGACAATTCAAGTCAAGTTGAAAGCCCGCGTCCCAAATTGCGGGCCGCGAGGGTCAAGTTTTTTAAACTTGACGAAGTTGAGTGTCCAAGCTTTTGAAAGTCACACACTTGCAATTTGGGACTTCCGAAGACAGATTCACTCACCAGGGGGAAAACCGAGGGTTGGCTGGGTCTCGCGAAAAAAACGAACCTAGACGAAATCGGAAACTCTCGCCAAAGCCCACACCAGAGAAACTCCCTCTGGTCAACTTTTAAAAGCATGAACAATTTGGGCCACCGGCTTTAAGTTTTTTCGTGAAAAATTGAATTGAATTGAATTCAATTCAATTCAATTCAATTGATAGAATTTATTCTTCTAGATCAAAATAAATTCCATCAATTCAAAAAGATCTTCGTTAGCAAATCTTGAATAGAACAAATTAAACTAAATAAATTTTAAAGTAAAAATGAATACTTTAAGAAACCAAATGTTTTTTTTGAGATTTCACGGGACCCCAAAAAAAGAAGATTTCACGGCACTTTATTGGGCCAGACCAGACTAAACAAGGAGAAGCTACCACGGCGCCATGATTTATTCTCCTACACCAAACTGAGAGCTCCACTCCACACCACACGGGAACCCCTGTACATCCTAAACCCTAGAAAGGCTCACTATTAAATTGAAGTGCCAGAAAAGTGTCACCAATCAGATTTGAACACTAATCTCTATTATGAGAGAGATGTTAAGATAGTAGGTGTGGGGCCTAGGCTTAGTAGCCTAGGCCCACACTAGGAGGTAGTTGAGTTTGCTCTAGACTAGGAGTTAGGGTTTTGGAAGGAGAATTGGAAGGAAGAATGAATGCACTAGCAAGCAGCAAGACACACAAATAGAAAACCCTAAGGGGTTGTACTCAGTATTGAGCACCCCACTGCAGGCTAGACAAATAACATTCTGACACACCCCCATAGCCAAAGTGGGGTGTAATCAGCAGAGCAGGCAAAGCAATACAAGCTCAGGGTGGATCACAATGTCACCACACATTCTGAGCACAAGTTCAAGAAGAAATAGTTTAGAGTTCACAGTTATAAGCAAAGCTAGTGGTAGTCACAATGGGCAAGTGAGAAGGAGGAGGGAGAGTGAGGGGAGAGGAGATAGGAGGCGACGGCTGAAGCGGCAGACACACGGGCAACAAGAGGCAGACTGGCACAGCGGCTACCGGACAGCGCCCGGACTACAGGAGTAACAGGCCCCGCGGCTAAAGTAGCGGCAGACGAGCAACGGACCCCAGGCGGCTGACGTAGAAATCTAGCTCACTGGGCTACCGGGACAGCGCCCTGGACTACAGGTGCTGCGGACTACAGTACGGCAACTTCCAAGCAGCTTCCCCAAACAGTCCCACCCCCCTGACACACACCCGCTGCTACACCGCTAGCTCCACTCCCATGCACCCCCCTTAAACCCGAAACCCCAGTCTCCCACACAACCACCCCCCTCAGCGACAGCTGCAGCAGTGGGAGACGAAGGAGGAGGAGGAGCAAAGGGAGGAATGCACACTAGCCACCCCCATACCCGCAAACGGGGGGGGGGGAGAGCAGAAACAGTGAGCACGAGGGCGCAGACAGTAGCAGAGCGCACGAGGGCGCGAGCGCGAGGCACGAGCAGCACCAGGCACATGCAGCACATGGCAGCACAGGCACGGGCAGCAACAGGCACAGGCAGCACAGGCACGGGCAGCACAGGGCAGCACAGGCACGGGCAGCAACAGGCACAGGCAGCACAGGCACGGGCAGCACAGGCACGGGCAGCACAGGCACGGGCAGCACAGGCAGAGGCAGCAACAGGCACAGGCAGCACAGGGCAGCACAGGCACGGGCAGCAACAGGCAGAGGCAGCACAGGCACGGGCAGCACAGGTACGGGCAGCACAGGCACGGGCAGCACAGGCACAGGCAGCAACAGGCACAGGCAGCACAGGGCAGCACAGGCACGGGCAGCAACAGGCACAAGCAGCACAGGCACGGGCAGCACAAGCACGGGCAGCACAGGCACGGGCAGCACAGGCACAAGCAGCAACAGGCACGGGCAGCAACAGGCACGGGCAGCACAGGCACGGGCAGCACAAGCACGGGCAGCACAGGCACGGGCAGCACAGGCACGGGCAGCACAGGCACAGGCAGCAACAGGCACGGGCAGCACAAGCACGGGCAGCAAAGGCACGGGCAACACAGGCACGGGCAGCACAGGCACAGGCAGCAACAGGCACGGGCAGCACAGGGCAGCACAGGCAGGGCAGCACAAGCACAGGCAGCAACAGGCACGGGCAGCACAGGGCAGCACAGGCAGGGGCAGCACAGAGCGTACCGGGTCCAGGGGCGGCAGCTGCTGCAGGCACTGGCGGCGGCTGCTGCTGCAGGTTTGGCGGCGGCTGCTGCTGCTAGGCGGCGGTGGCTGCTGCGGCAGAGCGGCGGCGGCTGCTGCTGCTGTCGGTGGCGGCAGCTGCTGCAGGCCTGGCGGCAGCTGCTGCTGCAGGCTCGGCGGCGGCTGTTGCTGCAGGCTCTGGCGGCGGCTGCTGCTGCAGACTTGGCGGCGGCTGCTGCTGCTGGGCGGCGGTGGCTGCTGCGGCAGAGCGGCGGCGGCTGCTGCTGGTGTCGGTGGCGGCAGCTGCTGCAGGCCTGGCGGCGGCTGCTGCTGCAGGCTCGGCAGCGGCTGTTGCTGCAGGCTCTGGCGGCGGCTGCTGCTGCAGACTCTGGCGGCCGCTGCTGCTGCAGGCTCTGGCGGCGGCTGCTGCTGCAGGCTCTGGCAGCGGCTGCTGTTGCAGGGCGGCGGCGTCTGCTGCTGCAGGCCTGACGGCGCCCCGCGGGTCCCGCAGGGGGGGGTCGCGACGAGCAGGGGCGACGCCCCGCGGGTCCCACA